CACACACACGTCATCCAGCGCGCACACACACGCCATCCAGCGCGCACACACACGTCATCCAGCGCGCACACACACATCATCCAGCACACGCTGCATTCATTATACACACTCTTCACTCACTACAAACACACTACATTCACTATACACCCTCTGCATTCACTATACACATTCTGCACTCACTACACACTACATTCACTATACACACTCTGCATTCACTACAAACACACTACATACACTGCATTCATTGTACACACTCTGCACTCACTACAAACACACTACATACACTGCATTCATTGTACACACTCTGCACTCACTACAAACACACTAAATTCATTATACACAATTTGCACTTACTACAAACACACTACATTCATTATACACACTCTGCACTCACTAAAAACACACTGCATTCATTATACACACTCTGCACTCACTACAAATACACTACATTCACTATACACACTCTGCATTAATTATACACACTCTGCACTCACTACAAAAACACTACATTCACTATACACACTGCACTCACTACAAACACACTACATTTATTATACACACTGCACTCACTACAAATACACTACGTTTGTTATACACACTGCACTCACTACAAATACACTACATTCATTATACACACTCCGCACTCACTAAAAACACACTGCATTCATTATACACACTCTGCACTCACTAAAAACACACTGCATTCTTTATACACACTCTGCACTCACTACAAATACACTACAATTATTATTCACACTGCACTCACTGCAAACACACTACATTTATTATTCATACTCTGCATTCACTACAAACACACTACCTTCATTATACACACCCTGCACTGCACTATATGCATAGGAGTGTAATTTAAAAAAAATATATATATTTTTAAGGGGGTGGGGGGGGAGGCGGGAATCTTGGGTGAGTTCCCACACCTTTTTCCCCAGGACTTGACCCCTGGTTGAAAGTACGGAAAATGGGCAAGCAAAAAGACCTGTGCGACTTTGATAAGGGCCAAATAGTGATGGCTAGATGACTGGGTCAGAGCATCTCTAAAACAGCTAGTCTTGTGGGGTCTTCCTAGTATGCAGTGGTTAGTACCTACCAAACATAGTGCAAGAAAGGACAACCTGTGAAATTGGGCAGTCAAGGCTAGTTGATGCACATGTGATCTAATCACACAGAAGAGCTACTGAAGCTCAAAATGCTGAAAATTATGTTCCTATCCAAAGCCAAAAGTGCCTACAATGAGGATGTGAGCATCAGAACTGGACCATGAGTGAATCATTTTTTCTTTTAGATCAGGTGGATGGTGTAACGAGAATATACCCCTACACGCAGGATCCAGCTAAACAGAGGCAAATACAGAGGAGAGATACGTCTACCGGACCTTAGAATGGCCGGACTTGACGTATATGAGAGAAGACAGAGCCAGAAACAAACCGAGGTCAAGGGCACAGAGAGACAACGTAAACTAGGACAAGCCGGGGTCTGGTACACGGAAAACAGCAAGCCGGCAAACAGTACAGATAAGGATAAAGCGAAAACGAAGTCAGAATACGAAGCCAAAGTCAATACGAGAAAACACAACCGAACACCACAAGCGCTAAAGGGAACTGAAACAGAAACCACGATAGGGCAATGAGCTAAGGGAAAAAGGTAAGTTTAAATAGCTTTTAAATGAAAGTGATTGGCTCCTGTCACTTCCACACCCCCAAAAGGTAATTGTATAGGGAGTGTGGTATGACAGGAGCCAATGGGAGCCTTTTGGCAATTAGGCTCCCACTGTCTCTTTAAGAGCGCGCCCGAGACTCGCGGGGCGCTCTTAGTTTCAGGCGGGACACGTGACTGCTTCACGCGGTCACTGCCCGCCTTCCATCTAAAGCAGTCGGATGAGCCGCGCGAGGCTCATGCAGCCGCAGGACCGCGCGCGGCTTGAAGAGAGGACCGCGACCGGCCCCCGGTTAAGGTAAGTAACGCTACAGTACCCCCCCTGAGGACACGCCCTCCGGACGGGTAGGACCAGGCCTGGCAGGAAAACGAGAATGGAAAGAGCGCACAAGACGGGGAGCATGAACAGCATCAGCCGAAATCCAACTGTGCTCCTCAGGCCCATAACCCTTCCAATGTACCAAGTACTGAAGTCGACCCCTAAGGAAACGAGAGTCAAGAACAGCAGACACTTCAAACTCCTCATGACCCTCCACCGAAATAGGAGGGGGAGGAGGAGTATGCCGGGTATAGCGGTTGCGTACGAAAGGTTTCAACAATGAGGTGTGAAAAACATTAGGAATACGTAGATTCTTAGGCAGGCCTAAGACATAAGAAACAGGATTAACCTTATGTATAATACGATAAGGTCCAATGAAGCGGGGAGCCAATTTCATAGAAGGCACCCGGAGACGAATATTCCGCGTGGAAAGCAAAACCCTGTCCCCCACAACATAGGACTGAGCTGCTCTGCGACGCTTGTCAGCCTGAGCCTTCTGGCGAGTAGCAGAGTCCACCAAAGAACGCTGAACCTGCTCCCAAGTATTACGCAAACCAGCCAAATGCTCATCCAGAACTGGCATGCCCTGTGAGGAGAATGCAGCCGGAAGAACAACGGGATGCTGGCCATAGACAACGTAAAAAGGGGTCTTGCCAGAAGAATCATGAGTGGCGTTATTCCGAGCAAATTCAGCCCAAGGAAGCAGGTCAGACCAATTGTCCTGATGGTGAGACACAAAACAACGGAGGTATTGCTCCAGAGACTGGTTGGCACGCTCAGCAGCCCCATTAGACTGGGGATGATAAGCGGAAGAAAATGAGAGAGAAATACCCATTTCTGAACAAAAGGCCCTCCAGAACCTGGAAATAAATTGGCTACCCCTATCGGATACAATAGATACGGGAATCCCATGTAATCGAAATAGTTCTCTAGCGAAGATATGAGCCAGTTCCTTAGATGTGGGCAACTTGCGAAGAGACACGAAGTGAGCCATTTTGGAGAACCGATCCACTATCATCAGGATTACTGTGTTACCATTTGAAGGGGGTAATTCAACAATAAAATCCATGGACAGGTTGGACCAAGGTCTCTCGGGAACGGGTAACGGATGCAACAGCCCACAAGGAACTCTACGGGAGGATTTCATACAGGCACAAGTAGTACAAGCACTTATATAGTCAGTGACATCCTTTCGTAAGGAATCCCACCAAAAATACCGAGAAACAGCTGACACCGCTTTGGAAATACCAGGATGTCCAGCGGTCTTAGTATCATGATATAATGACATAATATCCCGTCTCTCAGGAACATCAACGAACAGTTTATCAGTAGGCCTCTCGCTAGGTGCCATGCTTTGTTTCGCTTGTATGGCCTGCAAGAGGGACGAGGAAATAGACAAAATAGTAGTAGCTATTATCCTGTCTGGGGAATGACAGGAGTAACATCAATCTCCTGTTTGTCAGTAGTTTCGAACTGTCTGGACAGAGCGTCTGCTTTAGTGTTGCGATCACCTGGCCTATAGGTGATAATAAAATTGAAACGAGACAAAAATAGTGACCACCTAGCCTGCCTGGAAGACAATTTTTTGGCTTCGCTAAGATAGGATAGGTTCTTGTGATCCGTAAAAATGAGGATAGGATCCTTAGTTCCCTCTAACAAATGTCTCCACTCTTTAAGTGCTAAAATAATAGCAAGGAGTTCACGATTACCCACATCATAATTTTTCTCTGCTTTGGACATTTGTTTAGAAAAGAAGCCACATGGATGCAATGGCTTCTCAGGCGACTATCTTTGGGACAAGACAGCACCTACCCCAATATCCGAAGCATCAACTTCAAGTATATAGGGCAGTGAGGGGACAGGATGCTGTAAAATAGGTGCAGAGGCGAACGTAGTTTTAAGAAATTCAAAAGCCTGAAGTGCCTCGGTAGACCAAACACGAGTATTGCCATCCTTTTTAGTCATACGGGTAATAGGTGCTGCAATGGACGAGAAACCTTTGATAAAACGTCTATAATAATTGGAGAACCCAAGAAAACGTTGAATAGCTTTCAGACCTTGCGGTAGAGGCCATTCTATTACAGCAGCAAGCTTCTGGGGATCCATACGAAAACCTTTAGCGGAAATCAAATACCCCAAAAACTGGACTTCGGTTTGGTCAAACAGACATTTTTCTAGCTTGCAATAAAGACCATTAGCAAGAAGGGTCTTCAAAACTGTCGTAACATGTCTATGATGAGTGTGTATATCTGCAGAATATATTAAAATGTCGTCCAAGTATACGATAACAAATGTGTGAATAAAATCTCTCAATACATCATTAATAAATTCTTGGAATACTGCTGGGGCATTGCAAAGCCCAAATGGCATAACAGTGTATTCGTAATGACCGGTTCTAGTGTTGAATGCAGTCTTCCATTCGTGATTTTCCTTTATACGTATCAAATTGTATGCATTCCTAAGGTCTAATTTAGTGAACACAGTGGCATGTTTCAGCCTGTCAAATAATTCTGTAATCAAAGGTATATGGTATGCATTTTTGATAGTGATTTTGTTTAGACCTCTATAATCTATACACGGTCTTAAATCACCTTCTTTCTTCGATACAAAAGAAGAACCCTGCTCCAGCTGGAGAAGAGGATCTCCTAATAAACCCTTTTTCTAATGATTCCTTGATGTACTCCTCCATGACACGGTTTTCTTGAACCGATAAGGGGTACACCCTGCCCTTTGGAGGTATAGTGCCAGGCAACAAGTTAATAGCG